AGTATTCTAAATTACTAAAACAGTATTTTCTACATTATTTATTTATTTTTTTTCTTGGTGACTATGCTTCTGGATTTTGAACTGTAAAATGAATTCACTTAGGTATCCCAAGGGTGATGGACCTTTAAGGCTAAAATATTTTGGACACATTAAAAGTAATTTAATTGATTATAAAAATTTATAGAAAAAACCCTAAATCATGAGGTTAACCAATTTTGGTAATTTTGAGAACTTTTTAAGATTTTCTAATTACATTAGGCAATACCTTTTCAGAAATTTGACAATTGAAATTCATATATTGATGATATGCTTTTTCTGTTTAGATTTTTAAAACTATATTAATATATTTAATTAACATCCTTGTTTTCTAAGTGATAAATATGAGAGCTGGAATGTTGGTAGTTTTTGCAAAACCTCTAAGGTAGCCAGAGTAGATGTAGGACATATTATTATTTACCTTCCAAGACTTAATATTTAAATAATTTAGCTTCATCAGCTTTTATTAAGTTCTGCTATATCATTTACACTCTGAGAAGGACACATTATACTATTTACACAATAAATACTGATGAATATGTGCTCAGTACAACAAATTATGCTATGTAATATATGATGAAAATCAAATGAACTGCTTCCATTCTCTAGAATGTTTATATAGTTTCCCAACTCTATATAAAGCAGGTGAGAATTCATACACATAAAATTATGACAAAATTTTTACCATATGTCTAATAAATAGTTGGTAGTCTAAAAGGTGTGTAAGGAAAGAATATGTAGCAATGGAGATCATCAGAAACATCATGAAAAAGGCTCTTAAAAAGAACGTTTGAAGCATAGACAGAATAGGAATTATTAAAAACATTTCCTTCAAAAAAAATAGTTTCCTTCCCTTCAAATCAGACTGATGAAACATGTCAACATAGAATGCAGTTTTTGTCTCCAACTCCTTGTTCAACTTAAATGGACTTGCATAATATTTTCTAAATAATTTTTAGGTAATGTACAATTGTCATTTTGGAACAACTTTACTCCAAAATCTTCCTTTATGTTTAAATGAAACATATCAAGTTTGAGTTTAAAGAAATCTTATTACTTATCTAAATAATTATTTGTTAAACGTTGCCATGATTAAAATGCAAAAAGGTTAATTTTGCTTCTTTTGATTATTACTTTTTATTTTCTATCTCCCCAAATATGTTGTAGCTTTAGGGTATCAAGTACAATTTGTATTTTCTGACCACAATATAAATATTCCTGGCCACAGTGCTTGACAAAAGGAGTGCCCTCAAAAAATAAATACTCAGTGTTTTCCAAATGCATTCAGATTAAATCCAAATTCCTTATCAGGGACTACAATTTTTTTCCCTTTAACTTACACTTCTTGTATTTTGGCTGGAATGCTTTTCCTGCAATATTCAGAAGCAGATAAAGGAGTTTCTCAAATGCTGGAAATTATAAGTAGTTTAGTACGGGTGGGAGGGGACCACATTTGAAGGATTTGTTAGATATTTTGTGGAAACTTGCAGGCTATGCTAGCATTTTGTAGTAAAATTAATTAGAGCTTCCCAAAATGGACATGATCAAATGCTGTTGAGAAGTATGGAAACAAAATGACTGCAATCTTAACAAGAAAATTTTCAGGGGAGTGGACTGTGCCAATGTATAATTTAAAATAGGAACTAGGGATGCATGTATGGAAAAGTAATTTTAGAAATTGTGCTCTGAAGGGGAACAAAACTGTTGGATAGCTACAGGGAAAACTGAGATCAAGTGAGATTGATATTTTATTGTTGTTATTATTTGTTTTGTTTTGTTTCACTTTGTTTACATTGAAAAGCTCTGGAAAATTGTATTGGGCTCATGTGAATGACTAGGCGAGAAAGAGAGAGACTGAGCATGTAGAAAGGACATTTGAAATATTACCCTCAGAGAATAGAGATGAGGTTCCTAATTAAAATAAAGATATCTTCCTTTGATAGAATCAAAAATACCTGTGCATTTTAACAGGAAGAAAGTTAGAGAGGTGGCTACAAGTGCTATAGGTTTGGAGATTTGGTGGTAGGAAAATGAGCAAGTTCCTCTAATGACTTCTATTTTCTCAGCACAGAGACAAATGTAACCAGCTAGGAATCACTAGAGCAGAGCTTCTAAGGAGTAAGAAGAGAGAGGAGAAGCTACAAAATAATCATGTTGATGCTGAAAACTAAAGTTAACTAAGGAATAATACTAAGGTTGTCTAGCAGCATTGTATGTCCCATTTGGATTTGGGGCCATGATTTGAAGGCAATGAATAATTACTTTTTACATGTATATATACATATATATTTTTTTCTTAGATAACACTGAGTCTACTGCTCTCCTCTGTATATCTCTATTTGGATTTCTTTTGCCACCTCAAATTAAATAACACTTTAAACTGATCATTATCTTCCCCCAAGCACATTTCATATAAAGCATTCTCTGAGGAAAGTGGCTCCCATAGTTCCTGGGCAGTGAAAGCCAAACACCTTAGAGTTAGTCTTAGGATTTCCCACTCTCACATCTAACCCATTAAATATATCATGAAACCTCATTGATTTTAACTCAGACGGATCTCCTGAATTCACCTACTCTCATCTATCACCATTGGAACCACTCTTGTTAAACAAGAGTCTTTTCCTGCACCAGTGCAACAGAAACAAAGAAACAATTGCCTCCATCCCTGCTCCTCTCCAATCCATTATCCACACTGCTACACAATGATCTCTCAAACATCGTCATCTCAGTATTTCCCTGCTTAAAATTTTGTAATGACTTCAAATAATAAAAACTATAAAGTGTGTCCTGGTGTCCTTTTCCCTAACTTTATCTCTGCCACTTTAATTCTACGATCACCCTTATCAATTCTTTAGTTTCCTCTATCTCCTTATTTGTTCATGTATTTTGGTCTTTTGCAATGATTTTGCCCCTCCAATGCAGTTTAATGCATTCTAACGCCCCCCTAATGTAAATTGGATAATTTTCCTTTTTAATTTTTTAACATATCAGCAGAGACTCAGCTTCCTAAGGAAGTCTTTTTTTGACATCCCAGTCTAAATTAAGTGTCAGTGTTCAATTCCATGCTCTTTCTTTTTTCTAGCATAGAAATATTTATAATTATTCATGCAGTACTTTTAAGATTCACAAAAGCAGAGCCATGTCTATCTTGTTTACCTCCGTAATCTAGTTCCGAGCAAAATTTCTGGCCCACTACACTTGCTGAAAGCGTTTTGTTGAACTACTGACCAGAAAGATACATTTATCTACTTTTACTTACATTTTTATTACTTTCTGCTTCCAAAGTTTCCATGGAGGGTTAATGAGTGTTACATACGATATTAAAATAAGTTTTTAGGTTAAAAGACATTAAATAAAAGAAAAGAGCTGAATTTTGTTTCATAAATGATCATTGAATTCCAAATATGCAGAATTGTCTTTGAAAGTAAATAGTGTTTAAAGTGAGAATGGTTTTATTGAAAAGGATAAAAGAAGAAAAAATGGATAACTTAGCTAAGAATGGTATTGACTGCTACAGCAATCCTATTATAAGAAAAATAATATTTTAAATCTTTTCCTAATCATTTAGCTACAAGAATGTCTCTAATACTATCAAAAAGCTCTTCTTATCTTTCAAATACCTTCACATTCTCTCTGAATTTATAAGAGCATTAAGGCTTTGTTATCGCTATAATTAGATCTACTGAAAAAGTACCTTCTCATTTTTGTCAATTCCTGATTATTCATGGTGATGGCAGAAAGCCTTTGCATGGATTACTAAAACCCCAAATCATTTATAGCACATGAAAATTAGCCCAAATTCTTATGTCTATCAAAAATTTCTATTGAAATACAAGTTCACCTTTGAGCTTTAGCAAATTTCCATTGATGCTTGAATAAATGCTCTTAAGTGTATGTACTGAGTTTTGAAAATAGAAAAAATATATATGGCAGATGAGTTTTATGTAATCTAAACCCTAAAAAGTAATCAAACCAATGGTTTGGTGTCTTTGATTGGCCCATAGAGGGAAACTGGAATGAAAGTTTGGCTTTACTAGCCACTGAGAAGAAAGAAAGATACAAAAGATTAGGGAATGAGCCTCATAAAAAGATTTATTTTGTTAGCACTTGACCACTAACAGAAATGTTAACAAAAATATCCAGAGAACATATTCTTTATGTGATTCTGAATAGTTCAGTTAAAAACCTCATGCCATGTCATTCATTCATTTATGCATTACAGAATAATTTATGATCACCTACTGTGGTCAAACACTGTGATAAATATATGAATGCAAAATTGAACAAGACACAGTTTCTACCCTTTATAGATCATTACAATATGTACAGTATAAGTATGAATGATACTAGAATAGATGCTTGTTGAGTCAAATAAAAGTTCTAAAATGGAAAAAAAAAGTAAAATAAATGGCCTAACATCTGACTCCCCTGAAATCAATATAATGTGAATGATACACCAGCTCATCCATGCATTCTCCCAAATCCAACAAAATTTATGAAGCTCTTAACACCTACCAATTAATTAATTAATTAATTCAATAACAAAATTTTGAGCACCTACTATGTACCCTACCATTCTATGAGCATAGGGAAAAATATTATTTCTTCAACAAAAGTTGTGTTAATAACACCATAAATGAAAATTACACTCAAAGCACTACTTCAGTTTTAAATACATATAAGTATTTACCTTTTATAATATAATTTCCTATAAGCTCCCGCAACATAAAAATGACTAAAATACACACAGTCCAGATATGTTTAATTTAAATACTTAAATATTTGATTATCTGAATGAATAGCCTGGCATTTATGATTCAGAAGCTTATGAAACATTTTTGAAATTAATGGCAATATTGTGTTATATGTAATCTGTGTATACTAGTCAAAATAATGACATTATTCACAAAGCAAACAATGCATCTGTTCCAGGGAAAAGCTTAGTTTCTTATTTCTTTTGACAGTGTGCAGACCTGGGTTCTTCAAAGCCTCACCTCACAGCCAGAGCTGCAGCAAATGTCCACCTCACAGTTATACCCATGAGGAAGCTTCAACCTCTTGTGTCTGTGAAAAGGATTATTTCAGGAGGGAGTCTGATCCACCCACAATGGCATGCACAAGTAAGGAACCCAACCAATATTTGGTGATGCTAACTTTCACCACTTTGAAGAAAGAGCCTGATGGAGCCTGTTACATCCTATTAACATTTCCCCTAAAACAGGCATAATGTTTAATCTTCCAAAATAGTTTTTTAAACCAGATTTTGATTTTCTTAAGTAAGCATTGAAAAGTTGGAGTCTCTTTTATTACTCATTGTTAGAAGCATTCATTTTCCCTAATTTCAAATTCAACATCGGAGACAGATAAGGAATTTTTTCTTTTATTTTATAATTTCTTTTAATGTTCATGACAGCTAAACATGACTCTGATAAACCCATTTTCCTTTTCACCGTAAACATTTTTTCATTCTTCGTCTTCTCCCGAGCCAGGCTTTTGATCACATAAACATGTAATAAATGGTACTTTTGCCTTTTTTTTTTTTTTTTTTACCTAATTTGCCCCACAAAACGAAAAAGGCCAGTAAGAAGGTCATTTATGAAGGAAGACAGGAAACACTTCAAGAGCATGGAGTACTGGGGGTTGGCAAATCAGATTTAGGAGTCAAATAGAAAACTAAAGCTTTAACGAGGACTTCTAAGCAGTTGTCCTATTCCTTATAAGTGAGTGTCCTTAACTATTATTAATTATATGATCCCATAATCATATAATTAGAATGATGAAGAGTAAACGTTATTTCCAACATTTGCAGTGGAAGCATCCACATCCATCAATGTTTTTGGGTGTTTTGTTTTTCTAGTGTTCCACATATTTCTGAGAAGGAAACGCATTTATGTATTTGCTTGATAAGAATACTTTCATAAGTTGTCCACATTCACAGTCTCTATGGCAAATCAAACAAAAACTCAAAATGGCAGGGAAGAAAGTGTATCTCCTATCCCCATAAGATTCAGTATCCATGACCTTGCCTTGTTTTATTATTTTTGATCCTAGCAGCTGCAGTTGCTCTCAAAGATGATGACCAAAATTTTTGAAATCTAGCATTCATTCTAGTATGAAATATAAACAGACATACAATTCCTTTAATCAAATGACAATAAACTGAAGTTTTATCTGAATTTCAGCATCTGAACTTCATAGTGTCAGTGAGACATATTTTCATAATTTCTCAAATCATTGATATTAATTAGCTTTACATTGCTAAAGATCATTCTTTTATCACAAGACTGATCATTTTATGGGTTAGATGATTACTAATTATAAATACTTATTTTTCAAATAAGTAAAATGATATATACACTTTTGGGAGGATGCATTTGAGTAGAGGAGACATAAACTATGATTGCATGTGATGTGTTTTGGTTACAGTTGAGGTTATTTTAATTATCAGAGCAAAAGAATGCCCAGAGAGTAAAAGGGAAATGTGGCCAGACAATAGAGTGGTAAATTAGGGAGAGAAAACCATATCTTGAATTATCTTTTAAATTTCATTTATTTTCTAATAGTTATTTTCTTTAAGTGGTCCAGCCATGATCTTTCTCTTTTTCATCGTAAAAGTGAGTCTCCCTTTCTGTAAGTTCATTAGGTTTGGGGTGAGGGAAAGACTGTGCTCTGGTGGCAGGGACTACTTAGTCCTCTTATAGGATTTGGGGCTTCAAATTTTCTGTTTCCAGGTGTGCGGATTTCTAATACTGTGTTTCAAAAGAATTTGTATGCATTTGTTGAAAACACTACTGGGACTTGTGTAGAAGATCTTTCTAATATAAAATCTGCGGGTGTGTGTGTATCGTTTTTAGTTGCATTCGTAGCACCACAAATACTGCATATGAGATCCCCTTGCATGGATGGCTTGATTGATGTTCACATGTTCACATGAAAGTCTGGAATTTTGCTTTTTGTTGGCTCTTTGGAATTAAATTTATGGTTCCAACTGCTTTTAATAATTTTGATGTATATATGTATAAATATATAAATATATAACATGTTTATATAATATATAATGTATATATTATAAATATATAAATGTGGAAAATAGAATGTTATAAACTTATAGGAAAAGAAAAAAAGATTCTGGTGAATCTGCTTCAATGAGGGGTACTTCTCATAGCTCTGTTTTGGTTCATATATCACATCTCAGCAAGGCAGTGGAATTTCATTAGGTTATTTTTTAAGTGTATGTCAATCCGAGCCTCTACTTTCTATTTCTACTTTAGGACTTCATTTGAATTTGAGTTTTATTTTGACATTAAAAGACATATACTTCCCCCCCCCAAATGTTTGAGGGGCTATTTGTAGAGAGTCAGAAGAAAAGGAAGAGTCAAACTCTGATTTTTTTTTAATTTTACAAATTTAGAGGAAATATGTTAATTTGGTTATATTTCAGATGTCAGGAAGAAAAAGTTTGATGTCTTCCTGAACTAGACATATTTCAGGTATATTTTACCTTATTCTCAGAAGTAAATCTGTAACATTTTGATCTCAAATGACATTTTCTCCATAACTTTCCACTATTAAATAAGCTACAGTTCACAGTAAAAAAATAATACTTCTGTATTTCCATCTTAAGTAACTGCTTTATATTGAAGTGTGTGAGGTTGTATGTATGGAAAATTCACGGGGTTCAATCAGAAATATAGTTGAGCTGGGGATTATTTTGCCAAAAATGGCAACTCTTAGGTTATGGGGTCCTTTAATTTAAATGGCAATTTGTAAATACCAGGTGGATTTTTTAATCACTTTTAAATTTAGTCTTCAACAGTCATGGCTTAATAAATGTTAGGTAGAAATTAATATTAATCTCTATATTTAAAACAACAGATATTAAGAGAACTAAGATATGTCTTTCCAAGTAGCTTAATTTATGCTTATGAACCATTCAACGACCACCATAGTCCATTCTATTCCCTGTCAGGAAGTTTTACATATTAAGTCTGAAACACATATAAATGTATTTTTTTGGGGGGGACATGTGACCATATAACATTAACAAATGATTGAAGTTATAACTCTAAATACCTGAAAATCAACTATAGACACAGACATTATGCGATTCCTTTTTAAAAAGACTATTTTTTTAGAGCAGTTTTAGGTTCACAGCAAAATTTAGAAAAAGACACAGAGACTTCCCATATACCCCATGCCTAAATACATAAAGCCTCCCCCCTTATCAGTCCCCGCCAGAGTGGTATACAATTGTCACAAGTGATATGGAATTAATTTTAGTTCTCTTTAGTAAGCTAATTATTCGTTTCAGAAATAAAGTAATATACAAATGGATATTGTTTATTATTTATATATAAATTTGTTCTGATCCTTCAAGATCTGAACACTTTAATTCTTACTCTTATAGTGTTTTTGAGAGTTATTTTTAAAATAAATTTCTGATTTCCAATTAAGTAAAATTCACAATTTGCAGAGCCACAGTATTAAAACAGTATCAAAGTAAGTGAAGTTTCATTACACATTGCAATGTCCAACTACTTAAATTCTAGTTTCTTCTTGACATATGAGGAAGATTTCAAACGTTGTTGGTGATTTATCTTTGGATATGCAATTCATTTTGAGGTAAGCTCAGGCTATTTTACTTGCTGCAGAATTTGTAGTCAAGAGCCACACTGACAAATCCTATTTTCACTTGTGCTCATTGCTTAGTAAATCCTTCATGTGTACTTCCTAGGTTTCCAGGACAGATCTCAATAAGGAAGTAATCAGTTCAATCCCCAAGGAGAATTTTTCCTTGGACTTGTCAAAGGACTTACCACTTTTTGAATATATAATTTTTTTATCTAACATTATTTTTACATACATAGTTTTACTCCATAATTGTTTACATGTACACTAAGCAAAACATATGTTTTAACTAAACAAGTGGTTATAACAATGCCAAGATAAGTTATTTCTGTAGGGTATAAATCCTGCTATCGTCCCAACAAAACTATAACAAGATTTTCCAAAGATTATTACAAATTGATGATTCTTGCATTTGCCCTATTTAAAAGATTGATTACAAATCTATTTTTTTTTCTTCAGACCAGGGATTTGTATAGTAAACAATGCCTAATTTTATCATCTTAAAATATGTTTTTCTCACTTTACTTTGCAAACCAGGACCCCCCTCAGCTCCTCGGAATGCCATCTCAAATGTTAATGAAACTAGTGTCTTTCTGGAATGGATTCCTCCTGCTGACACTGGTGGAAGGAAAGATGTATCATATTATATTGCATGCAAGAAGTGCAACTCCCATGCAGGTGTGTGTGAGGAGTGTGGCGGTCATGTCAGGTACCTCCCCCGGCAAATCGGCCTGAAAAACACCTCTGTCATGATGGTGGATCTGCTCGCTCACACAAACTATACCTTTGAGATTGAGGCAGTGAATGGAGTGTCCGACTTGAGCCCAGGAGCCCGGCAGTATGTGTCTGTAAATGTAACCACAAATCAAGCAGGTAAGTGTGATGTCCAGCCAAATCATGTACCTTAGGCCGAGCTCTGTCAATTATCTCTATAGCTAAGCGAGGGCTGACTGCGTGAGATCTTCCCATAAATCACAAGGTTAGGACTTAAAGTAGACCATATCTCAAAATGCTTTATTTAGTTTTAAACAAATAAAAGCTAAGGCTTTCTTAGCAGACTCATACATGGACAGGGAAAGAAAAATGTGTTTCAATTGATTTTTTTTTATTAAAAAGACATTTCTGGCTCAAATTCATTTGTAGCAAAAATTTTTACCTCAAATTTCACACATGCAATTATGATAGCTGAAATCTACATATTTTGTTGTTTTGTTTACATTGTTTTTTTTGTTTATTTCATTAATTTAGCAGATAATCAGGCAGGTTCTATTTGCTTGTTTATTTGTTTGTTTTGGCATCACAGCTGAATTTTCTTTGCACATTGAAATAGGCTTTTCTTATTTCTATTATTATTATAAAAATGTACAAAATGAATTTTTCTTTGATAATCCATTTATCAAAGTTAGAATAGCTGAACTGTACATGAAAACACATTTATGTTCCATATGAAGATCTTGGAATTACTGGGGAGTAATTATTAAGGAGAAGGGAATACAATTCTGCTTGAGCTACTAATTCACCCCCCCCTAATTTCCACTCAGCTATGCGATTTTAAGTAAATCAATATAGAGGACTTCTTTTCTGGTAAAATGAAAACCAAAGATAGACTATTATTAAATTAATAATTCAACCTATTATGTGACAAAAATCATTCAAAGCCCGTGGGCAATTTATGACTTGTTTTTGTCAACAACAGATGTGTGGGTAGGATGAGGCATTAAATGTAACTTCCCTCTATTCCCTGGCCACAGTTCTCAGTCCATGGGCATAAACTTGTCACACTTTTTAGTACCCCAGCTGGACTTCTTTTCAGTGAGGACATCCTTGCCAGCATATTCACAATGAAACAGGATGTGTTTGACTGAATCGAATTGGACATACATTAGTATAAGTTTGTAGGTTGTAGAATGACTGGGTTGACAAGAGAATGCTGTTGGTAACCACGTCTCGGCCAAAATAATTTGAATTATATTGAATGTGTCAGGTAAATCAAGTCATTACCTCTTGAGAAAAAGAAAATGCATACAGTTGAGTTCATAGTTGCTTCTGATTGATTAAGCCAAGGGAAATATTCAAGAGCAGCCTGGATGATATGAAAGTAATTGAGTAATTCACTAAGAATCATTCTAAATACTCTAGAGATTCTTATCCATGTTGAATAGATGTCCATTTTTTTTATTCTATGAGAGAAAACATTGCACACATATATACCACTTCCCTAAGTGAATTCTTTATATTTTTCTCCATTTGCTCCCTAACCTAAGGTAGAACTAATAAAAGTGTTAAAGAGCTGGATAGGAATAGTGAAAATTAAGTTTTCCTTCACTCTAGACTCAGCTGCTGACAATACTGGTATATGTCAATATTCTATCACAGTATCTAGTCACAAGTGTTCAGTAAATGTGAACTGCCTTCCCACACCAGAAAAATACTGGTTTTATAACATGTGATTTCAGGCTTCTCATGCAACATCTTTCAACTTTACTTGGTTCCATGTATGAGTCTTCCATTAATATTGAAAACATTTTGAACAATCACTAAGAGTTGTATTCCTCAGGGAGAACAATTTCTAGCTTGCATAACCTCAACTTACTTGAATGATATTTCTCTGATGAGCTAGGTATAGGAAATGACTGTACACTTTTAAAATGATATACTTAATAAATATTTGCTTTAGTTGTCTTTGACTTGCTAGTCTGTTCAGACTGCAAAGTGTACCTTAAATACCATGAAAGAATAATTTTCATCCAGCTGTTCAAGGCACAGCTATCATATAAAATAAACATTTGTATTTGGAGCAGACATTTTAGTTACTATTTTTTCCAAGTTCTCAGGATACACATACTGTAAAAGCTTTGCAAGCATAAAAAAAAAAAATCAAAACAAGAAGAGATTTTTCTTAGTATCTGACTGTTCCAGACAAACTAAGTCTCAGTTTTCACAAAAATTGTTAACTTCAAGTAGCTCTTAGGATGTCTTATGTTTAATATCACTATTGCTGCATATTTATCAAGTACCAACATTATGGAAAATGGGCTGTAGTAGTTACTTTTTAATATTTGAATATTTTAAGCACTAAATTGAAGCAAATTATTTGTGCTCTATGTGTTTTTTATATAAAATTTCTTTCAACAGATCAATCTTTTTTAAGGAGGGTTTTTTGAGAAATGCATTTCTTTTGTAATAGATTCATTTCAGATTTGTAATTTATTTTGGCATTTTCTGATTTATTTCTGTGACATCAACACAGTGTGTTGTTGAATAAAAAAAAAGCCAACCTAAAATAGTTTAATAAATGTTTTATTCGGTGTCTTAATGAGGACTATAGCCCAGGAGACAGTACTTTAAATTGCTCTGAAGAACTCCAAAGCATGTCAGTTTACAGAGGATTATGTGCAAAAAGGGAAAAGGGTGTCCATCCTTGCAAGCAGTTCTCCATTGTATAGTGTGCATCCCAAGGTACAATTTGTTTGGTTGTAGAAGTTAAGGTTTACTGATTTCCATGTAGGCATGTGAAAGAGCCTTCTGTCGTCTTAATACATTCTGTTTCTATCATATCGGATTATTCAAAAATATTACTGGCCTGCATCTGCTTAACTGGTTTTCTGGTTCTTCTTGTTTTTGGTTTCTCCTTGAGGTCACTTGAGATGGTCACAGAAGGTTGACATCAGTCATCTATTGCAGTTTTAGTGCACAGTCTGAACTGTCCAGATTCAAAATGATATTTTAAAGTACAAGAAGAAAAACTAGCAATTTTTTTCAAGATGAGAATCTTTCATTAAGCTAGGAACTGAAATTGATTAGGTAACCCTAGCTGATTGGTCTATAAAGGTAAATAATGATTTTGTGCTGAAGATAGTGATTAAATGATAAATTTATGGATGTTTATACAGTATTTAAAACACTTTCTCAGTCATTATATCATTATGAAGTCTAGCACCTTGTTCTTGGAGAAGTTGTCTAAATTCAAATGGTACTTTTTTACATGTAATTTAATAGGTAAAGTCAAAATATAAAGTTTTGGGGCATCTGGCTGTTTCAGTTGATGGAGTATGTGATTCTTGATCTCAGGGTTGTGAGTTTGAGCTCCATGTTGGGTGTAGAGATTACTTAAAAAACAAAACAAAACAAAACCCCAAATATAAAGTTTTAAGAATACTAGAATTAGTTGGACTTTAGGTTCCTTGTAAGATGCAGCAAATAGTACCGAGGTTGACAGGAAAGCATTGTAAAATTGTGAGGATTTTCATGGTCAAGAAAAATAAACACATCTGAAAGGGGAAAAATGAGAAAAAAAAGTATTTTACAGGAAGATAAGTGCTGTCTGGAGGAGGGGAAAATGAGAGGAAAATACAATGGAAATATGTTAATTATGTAGAGAACTCAACAAATAGGTTGCAAAGTGGATAAAATGATGAAAATGCAAACCATGAATTTTTTAAATTCTTAAACTTAGAAAAGGGATACTGAGTGAGTTCCTCCAGCTTCCTAGTGAGTTTGTGTGCTTTATGCAATACATTCTTTCAAAAAGTTGAAGTACACATGATAACCTTTCCTTTAAAAAAAATATTTAGATTATTTACATAACAACATTTCTGTTGTTCTTCTGTTTTTTTATCTAAAATATCTATTGGATAGTTAGGTGGATAGATGGATGAATGGATAGATAGAGTGAGTGATACATCAACACATAGTATGAAAATTAAAATTCTATTAAAAGTGAATATTTTTTAAGTTTCATTATCTACTCACAAAACAGTGTGCATTACCACATTTTTCTATGAACATATGCTTAAAGTTTTTATTTTAAAATAATTTTGCTCTAGGCATACTCTATCAAATTTAAAATTTAAAGCTTTTTAAATATATACAAATGTATATTTTATCCGAAGAAAGAATAAGCTCATTCTAACCAAAAACAAACAAACAAACAATACCCTAAATTACTAATATTTTAATATGCAAAGCTACAGAATTCTAATTCTGAGGTAAAATAGACCAAACTTTGTTTTGAATTAATCTTAGGCTCTTGGATTCTATCTTCAGAGGGTTTGGTTGACATGATATGAGTTGCAAAATGCAGCAAACATTTTGGAGGGCATGTCCCAACCTGTCCCAGAGTATCAGAAATATCACTAAGATTGTTTCTCGGCCTTTTGGCTAAGATCAAGTGTAGAAATATCATTAAGAAAGATGCCCCTATATTTTGATGGTTTTTATTTCTTGGTTCTTGCAAAAGTGTCTGGGGTACATGATAATCCCATTCTATCAAATACTTTCAGTTTGATGCCATTCATGTAGTCAACCAGCATGATACATCTTAGGATATTGAGATGATCAGGGTTCCCTGAGGACTGAATTATGCTGTAGAGCAGGAAATTTAAGAGAATACTGAAACAAGATGGTGAAAGTATGTTGTCGCTCTTGCCAAGGTGGCAACAAATGTTTTCTGTGGTTTCTGTGTATTGAGATGTTAAAAAAGTTTATTGTCACCGATTAGACCATTACTAAACAATGGTGAAGATATTTTTTGATTTTCATCAGTGGAGAGACCATATCGGCTGTGTTTGTAATCACCACCTGATTAAATGCATAGTTCGGCAAAATTAGTTTGTCTTCTGCTCAGACTAAACAAGTCATTTAAAGGTCATAACCTCCACTCTTTATTCCTCCATATTTTTTATGGTGGCACTAATTTCTTCATTCCCCCACAGATACAATAAAGATTTGTGCTTACTCTTTTGGTAAGATGGAGATACTTTAATTTGGCCATTACTGTAGTTTTACAGATTTTACTTCATGGGCCTCAGAGACAGAGGTTTCTTCCAGGTGCAAGGTGAATCTTCCAACTATATACCAATGACCTGGTGAAA